CCGAGATGCCTTTCAGGAGTCATCTATTTCATATTAATACAGGAGACACCGAAAACTTGGTAAGGCCTTCTGAATACTCACATGACAATTTTATTTTTCACATGATAAATCCATCAGTCTAACAGGTATTTCTCATTTCTTTAATTAAATAACCGCAAATACAAACAATACAGTTCCGTTTTTACACTACAAAGCCACTCGCTCATCCTTCCTCTTCCCCCCCCAGTGGAATGTGAAGTAGAAACGGACAAAAGGGAAAACTCATGCATTGAGATAAAGACAGTTTAACAGGACAACAAAGGAAATAATAATTATGATAATAATGAATACATAAAACAAGCTATGCACAGCTTTTCTCACCACCCCGTGACCAATATGCAGTCAGTCCCTGAGCAGAGACCACGGAACCCAGATCTCATGGAATCTGTGAATTTCGCGAAACTCCCAAAAAAGACCAAGCTCCCAGAAAAGATTGAACTCCAGGAAAAGAGAAAGCAAGAAAAGCTTCCTGCCCCCTCAGCCAACCCCCACTCCTAAAGTGAGCATGACATCTATGGTGGAATACTCCACTGGCCATTCCACTGGGCTGGCTGCCGGGCTGTGCTCCCTCCCAGCTCCTGCACACCTGCTTGTTAGCTGAACATGAGAAACTGGATGAAGTCCTTGATTTCACAGCAACAACTGAAAACATCAGTGTTACCAACATTCTTCTGGTACTAAATTCAAAACACAGCAGCTACTGGGAGGAAAATTCACTCTCTCCCAGCCAAAACCAGGACAAACAGCACAACTACTACTGACATGTAGAAAGAAATGACATATAGAAAGAGGTCAGCAGGTGTTAAATTACTGAGGAAAAAACAGCAGAAGAGGCAAGACATCTTAGTTTGCATTGATTCCATCTGTGTCACACCATTCACAATACACAACCACTTACACCATTATCAAGAGGTCTGTTGTCCAGTTTGCAATCAAATTTCAGATAAAAATGCTACCGAGACTGTATCTAATCCTATCTAGGAAAAGGCCATGTACAGTAATTCAGTAAGTTACTCTGCTTACAGTTCTTAGATGAAAGCATAATCCTGAAAGCACGGTGAAAACATAATTATTTTTCTTCTTTTAATGGCCACCTGCAATAAAAAAGATTACAAAAACAACTGCGTATTTTTTTAGTATATTTATTCATATATTGTATGAACTATAAGCACTGGTGTCACAAGTAACTCCTTTTATAGCATGCCAAAATTCCAAGTTACGGAAATCACTTCTCTAACAGAAGCACAGTCCCCTCTTTTGTCCTATTTATTTAAATAACGTGTATGCTTTGATTTAAAGCACGTATCAAGCTCAGTTCTCATACTGCAACAACTAGAGACTTAAAAGCACTTAGGAGTGAGTTATGAGAGCTGTTTGAATATAGACTTATTCAGCCTTTAGAATGAACAGAGATTATTTGACAATCTGACATGCATGCTTTCCCATAAGCTTATAGTTCATTTTGGTGATCTGATTCAACATCAGATCATCATAAAAAAACCCCAAAAAACAGGGAAGTTTAAAAACAAGGGTAGATATAAACCATAAGGCGATAAGCACCTAGGTAATTAAGAAATGCTCCTCAAAATGAGTAGTCAGGGCAAGCTACTCTCAGCTTCAAAAAGCTTACAAAACTGGTTTTGACAGGCAGAGTCATCGCAGGTAGTCCAAAAACCTCCAGGAGTTTTCATTAAATATTCAAGGCCAGCACTTATTCCTGTCATTCCCACAAATTTGGTAAGGTTAAAGAAAGGAAATGCTGAACTACAGTTACACATATAACTATGTCATCAGACTATTCTTGTTGCACACAATTCCCTCTTCAACACTTACAGGGGAACTCCACTCATCTATCACATCTCCCTCCTTGGTTGCACACATCTTCCCTCAATATCTAGAGCCCTGTGGCTGAACATCTAGAATTCCCTGTACTGCTTCAAGCTCTTATTTCATGAGATAACTAAACCTATTTAAAATTAAAAGCCACTACTGTTCACAGAGTAACACTTTCAGTGAGCCAACTACAACGCTCCTTTGATCCCGTCATGAGCTGAAAAAAACAGGTTTCTATTTGTTCAGTAAGAGCCACTAAAATACAGGTGCAAGAAGGAGTAATCACAAGACTGAACAGCTGCCTCATGAAACCTCCTCTCTAGTTCCCAAGTCAATCTATCAAACACCAATTGCCTCACTTCAGCATTTCAGAAAGTTCTTCCATGAATTGAAGTTTCTTGTTTCACACATCTAAGTAATTGTAAAACATCACCAGACTGAAAACACCTACAAGCTTTCCAATGCCGTCAGTGAAAACAGTTTTGTTGGCTCTTAGTGTCAAGGAATTATCTGAGGTACTTAGGCCATAAATTTCTTCTGATTTAACAAAAACACTTGGAACAGCAGTTTCCAAAGTGGGATGCATTTAATACAAACCATTCGGGTGCAAGAAGAAAATATTTTTTGCACCATTAATAAAGTAAAAATTTTAAAATGTGTTTATTTCAGCTTTACCTCTTTCTTTTTTCATTTTGATGTTGTGCGTGTGCTTGATAATGTGCACACTAGTACAGTAGAACATGCATACAACAAATAAATAAATAAATGTACACATATTGGGGGTGCATGCTCAAAAATCTTTCACCAATACTGGTTCCTAATAAAAAATGTTCACTACTGGATCAGTGGTCTTTATCCACAATCCAATCTCTCCCTACAAAATAACATGTAAAATAGTCAAGGACTTTTTGGCTCAAAAACACTAATACAATTCCATCTGGTTTTACCCACACCATTTACCCGTGTTTCTAATCTTTATACTTATATTGTTTCCAAACCCAAAAACAATCCACACTTTGGGAAAAAGTTTCCTCAGTTCCATTACCTCTTAGCACATGGCAGGTAAAAAGGAGCTTTAAATATTGTCACCTCACTTGAAAAATACACATACTGAATGCAAATTCACACGCGTGGAAGTATTTCAAAGTGCCTCGTGCTTTAAAAATTCAAAACAGAGCTTCACCAGCCTCATCATCTCATTCTTCTATGAAACCTTTCATACATAGTTGAGATAGTAATAAGTCTTACAAAAACATTAGCCTGAAGGCTCTTCTACTTCAAGAAACTGAATTAGTTCAACCTCAAGAAACTGAATTAGTTCAACCTGACCAGAACTTAGCCTTGTTCCAAAGAAGATACTTCAAACAAATCAAAACATTTTCTAGAATGCAACAATTTTAGTTTAAGTCCAACATACGATTTTAAGCTTCACCTTCAAAAACAAACAAAAACAAAAATCAAAAATCAACACAACAAAAAAACAATCACACTAAACCCCAGCTATACACATAAAAATAATGCAAGAGATTAACTTAAAAAATGCCCTTAACAGAAACCTTTGTCTTACAATATTTTGCTAACAATCGGGTGTCCACAGAGGTGGAGAGATTGTAACATACTTTTTAGTCTACGATCAGTCAGTGATCAAGCCGGCTAAAGTCAGCGCCTTCCTCAAAAGCACCCATTACATACTGAATTAAAATGTATTTCTAAAATTTTAATGACCTGTAATTCTGCTCAACTTACCTGCATTGAGTGAATTCCTTTACTGCTCTGTCTCTAGCCAGTTATACAACATCTAACATTTCAAAACAAGTCCAAGCGTGTAAATTTAATGAACATCATCCTCAGGGATAGACCATAAAGTAAACTACATTCTAGACAACAGAGCACATCTTGAGAAGCATTCTACAAGCCTGTTCTTTTTTACGTATTCTCCTGGAAAAAAAGATAATTTATTGGACAGACTACAACTATAGATTTAACAACTGGCAACAGCTAGAAGACCGTACACTTCATCTACACTGTGTGCCACAAAGCTAAGAAAATCGATGCCACATGATGATGTTCACACAGCATAGTTACTGGGCTGACGTATATTTGGATACTGGTATAGACTAAAAAAATAGCATCAGCACCCTACTCAGGAACTAGCAAACAGCCATGCAGAGCTCAACACAAGATAAAGTGATGAAAAGATGATGAAATCTCAGCATAACTTCAAACAAGATTTTAAGGCTATGACTGTCATTCGATACCTTTCAGTATCAGCTTTCTAAAATTGTATTGTTAGTTTTGTACTGTAATCTGAGATGAACTTTATAAATTACCTGGAGTTGGAGATATATATATGGACAGATTTAGGGTCTGATCCAGGCAGTATTTAAAGTGATCCAGCATCAAAATTTAAAGTCAATACCACAGTTGTTTCATTGACTGCATCAAATCAAACTGACAAACAGCATTTTTGTTACTAGACTAATTCAAAAGGAAATAAAAGCCAGGCATTAAATGTCAGTTATTCACACAGCCTCAAAGTGGACGTTGCTAGAGTAGCAACTTCCATGCAAAAGCCACGAAAACTCTTCTGTTTAGGGCCGCAAAACTTGTAAACTTTTCCTAAAAAGAAAACTTTGTGAACTTCTGTGTTATATCATCATACAGAATGTTACTGTCTGTTCCGTGTTTTATAAAAAGTATGTTTTGTACCTCTTGCGTTCATATGTTCTTTTATACAAAGCACAGAAGAATATTTTTTTACCTTTTATACAAAGAAGGCAGAAGACATACATGTCCAAAAAAAGCATTGCTTCAAACACTCTTTACACTAAAAGCGCTATTTAAGGTCAAATACAAAAACAAAAGTTGGTTAGAAGTCTCATTTTCAGGAATAACAGGTGTCAACCCCAAGCAGATTGATCTTACGTATTGTCACAAGACTACACAGCTATCAGCAAACGCCGTGGCGTAGCCGCTCCGACTCGCAGATCACGATGTACCCCGCAAGCTTTAATCCCAAAATTTACAACCCTTTCTGGGACACGCAGGAAGGACAACGCCGCGCAGAGGGGAGGGCTCCGCGGCCGGCAGAGCAGGCTCCGAGGGCTCGCAGGGGGACGTGTACTCACCCTGCAGTACCAGATGCTCAGCTGAGACGGGGACAGCACTGCGAAGAAAGCCCTCTGGGGATCCGTCTGGATGTGAAGAGGCTGCTCCAGGGACTCCAGCGGACACAGCAGCCTCTTGGGCCAGCCGCTGAGGAAATACATGGCTGCCGATCTCCCTCCCCCCCCCCGGCGCCCCCC